ATAGGCAAAGTTGAAAATACCTTTATTCTTGCCATATATATAAGGACCCAAAGGGTAAAAAAAAACTAATTATGGTTGGTTTTAATACCTTTAAGTTATATATTTGATATTGCAGAATATTCTTGCACTATGAACTTAATTTAATCGGTTATATTATATATATTTTTCATATACATTTTCCAAGTTACCATAAATCAAGATTTAGAGTTACTTGTTATTATAAGTAAGTATACAAATTAAATAATAAACTCTACGTGCATTATCTTGTTCCCGCACGGAGTTTGTTCTTGAAAACATTAGGGAAAAGGGAAAACAGAAAGTAGAATTAAGTTGCTTAGTCCTAAATTAATTGTCAGTAGGGGTGTACATGGACCGAGTTGATTCGGTTTTTATCAAAATCAAATCAAACCAACTATATCGAATTTTTAAATCTATAGATCAAACCAAACTAACAAAAGTCGGGATTTTCAATCTCGGTTTTCCTCGGATTTTTTGGGTTTTTTCCGATAAACTTATACTCCAAATATTTCTTTAGTACCTTTCTTTTGAGCTTATACTCCAAATATTTCTTTAGTTCCTTTCTTTTGAGCCTTTGCTCAAGAATGTTGCACAAGATCTTTTATATTGCATTCTACATACGAATTATCACCAACTTGTCAAAAGGGCAAAAGAAAAACTACCTTGTCAAAATAAGTTGCTGGAGGAGGTATGACACCACTTGCCCCCATGATTGGTTCAGCAATGAAAGCAGTTATCTGAGGCGAACAAGTAAATTAATCAGTAATAAATTACCCTCAATGCAGAAACTGAGCAACAGTGAGTTAAAGTTGACAAAAGTTACTGTTTCAGGCCCCTCTTTGAGGATAAGATCTTCTAGATTTTTAGCCAACCTGGTTGAGAACTCCTCCTCCGTCTCACCTGGCCGATATATTTCAACAAAAATGGTATATTACACCCCATAAGAACAAGACAAACCTAAGAGCTAGCAAGAATAAGTAATAACCTGATAGATGATAGCGCCAATAATGAGGGCAATCAGTGTGCAGTACAAATGGAGCAAGAAGATCAAATGTATTCGAGATTTGCACAAAATTGACTCAATAAAAATTTATGGGCGAGAGGATTTGAAACAGAAAAAGCATTCAAGTCAATGAATGAATACTAATCAATTGAACTACTTAGAAAGCTAATTAATTGCAAATACATATATAGGCGCGCTAAAAGTAAATCTTTTTCGTCGCTCTACAATGACTTCTATTTAGTAACCACTAAAATGTCACTACAGTAGAAGAAGCAGTGTAAACTGAATAATTTTGTCAAAGGTCAAGTTACAAAGCAAAAGTGTGTAATAAACAATTAAAAATAGAGGAACACAAACTAATTTATTTGCAATGCATTGTTTTCTTTTTTTCCCACTTTCTTTCTTTTAAAGTTGAAAAACAGACTAAAAGGTCACGGATAATACCTTAAATCAAGATGATGAACTGGTCTTAAATGGAGGCTGACAATGACGACTTGAACAAACCTTGAAGTTGAAGGCTAGTTTCTTACTTGCTTTCATAAAATGAACGCACAACTACTGATATTAGGGATTTAGGGGTGCAATTTGCTTTGGGCTTGGGCTAATTTTATTGTTCTAAAGGAGTGGGCTACAATTTAATTCCATCCTATTATTACATTGTTAATAAACAAAGATCTTGATAAATTTAAATAATAATTTGGAAATTATATTATATTAATATTTTAATCTATAAAATAATTCTAAAAATATATATATGTAATGTCGGATTGGTTTGGTTTCGGTTTGACTTTGTTTCGTTAATACCAAACCAAACCACTTATGATCGGGTTTCTTTTTCCAATATCAAACCAAGTCAAACCAAACGACTATCGGATTTTATTTTTCGATTTGACTCGGTTTGTCAGTTTGGTGTGGTTTGTCGGTTTCAATTGTACACCCCTAATTGTCAGTCTTATATTTGTTGTCCAAAAAGTTATATAGCTGTTTTCTTTCTCCATATATGCTTCTATTTCTTTTATTCACTGGTCTATTATAAAAAAAAAATCAACTACTATTTTAGTAGTCGTGCTAAACCAAATAAGCTCCCAATATTAGAAATGGAGAAACAGAAAGAATTAATATAATATCTTGCGTTAGGCATTCACAATTTAGTAAGAGGGGTAAAATAAGATAAATGCGATGAGGTGACATGTCTAAGTTGTTTTCACTTCAATTGTATGTCAGGTCACATCGGATAATATTATCATGGTGGAGGATTTCAACGGCAGGGGTATTTTTACATCAATTCTATGATGCGAGGGTTATAGTAGACCAATAGTATAACAAAGGGTATAAATAAATATTTTTTAATAGTAAAAGGGTATTTTTAACCCTTTTCCGTATTAGATTTTTAATAAAAATCAAATATTAGAGTTTGGAGAATTAGACAAATTGATTGTCAAACAAGATTTTGGTCTGGTATTAAAGAAACTTTGTCATTTTCTGGATATTTATACCTAATTGGCCGGTTGATACTGAGGGAAAATATATTATTATCTTTGTTAAACCCCACATAATATATAATAGGCCTTCAAATAATTCCCATCGCAACAAAATATTAGTTGAGAACGAGGCAAATTATTGTGAAGCACGATTACATGCTGTAAAACAGAAAAAAAGATAGTAGTAAGTTTGTATTTAGGCCGTATAGATTAGGGGCCGAAGAAAGGCTTTATTTTGCTCATCTTCAATAAGTTCACTGAAATTGCACTAACAAATAGTAGGTTGGAATTAATAAATTTAGAAGTACAATGTTTACGGGTGAAACCGGGCTTGTGGGATGCCCCTGTTTCCGGTAAGATAAGTCGAGCTAGAGACGTGAGAACAAGGAACCAGAATCGAGGTAAGGGTCTCATCGAGCCAGAGTCTAAGGACATGACGCTCATCCTCGAGAATATTGGGGTCATGATCCAGGATCGGTCCAAATCCCAAAAGACTTCGAAGAACGTTGTCGAGCAACACTTGGATCTCGGCACGTATCGATCGAGAGCCGGTGATTAGTTAAACAGAATTTTTTTTACCTTACATAGAATTGTACTTAGGGTAAAACTCTCCTACTATATAAATGGGAGTCGAATTATTCGTTGACACATTGTAACGTACGCATACCAAGGCAATATACTATTATTTTCTCTGTTATTGAAAGCTTTTTTCCTTGTTAAATAGTGCTGGCCATTATGAGTCCGGATCGAGGGTGGATATTTCATTGAGGTTGGAATCATCCTCCTCACGTGGTTTGAATTTACTATATCTTTATTTGTTTAATCTTACGCAATTTATCGTTTGTAACGAATTAATTCGTGTATTCTTAAAATCGCTTACAAATTTAATTGTTATCCGTTTTTTAGGGTAAACAGTTTTGCGCCCCCGTGGGGCTAAGGATAATAGTGGTTATTTGATACAAATTTCCACAACACGCTCTTTGAGATCTTAATTTAAGGAAAACTTAAAGATATCAAATTCTTAGTCTGCTCACCCTAACGTCGATATTGAATCTGGCCACCATGGCGAGAACAACAATATAGCGCCCAGCAACGAGGTTCAGCCTGCTGACCCCAACGGGGTCCCGATCGTAGATCCAATCGATGCCAACTCCCATTTGGCCATCGATGCTAACTTGCCCACCGACCCGGAAAACAGTATTAGCGGGGGAACCAGGTCGGTAGCGATAGCGGCGATGAAATCAACTTGCGGGTGATCTTCGAAATGCTACAGGCTCAACAAGCAGCGATAGCCCAATTACAGAACCAAAGCCGCGCTCCCAGTAGAGTTGATCCCGATCCGTCCCAGGAAAACACCGCAGAAATGAACTAGTCACAGAAAGGCCAAATGAAGCTGAATCCGGGACCAACCCCAAGATAGTAAAGATGCTCGAGGAATTGACAAAACGGGTAGAATTGGGAGAAAAGAAAATCGAAGCTAACGACAAAAAGGTGGAGACATACAACTCCAGGGTCGACCAAATCCCAGGAGCACCATCGATGCTGAAAGGCCTAGATTCCAAAAAGTTTGTTCAGAAAACTTTCCATCCGAACGCAGCTCCGAAACCGATCCCAAAGAAGTTTTGCATGCTCGAAATTCCTAAGTACAACGGAACAACTGACCCAAATAGCATGTGACCTCCTACACATGCGCCATCAAGGGGAACGATTTAAAAGATGATGAGATCGAGTCCATCGTACTGAAAAAGTTCGAAGAGACTTTGTCAAAAGGAGCTATGATATGGTATCATAACTTACCCCCTAATTTTATTGACTCTTTTGTTATGCTTGCAGATGCCTTTGTAAAAGCGCACGCCGGAGCCATCAAGGCTGAGACCAGGAAGTCAGACCTTTTCAAGGTAACGCAAAGAGATAACGAAATGCTTAGAGAGTTCGTGTCAAGATTTAAATTGGAACAGATGGATCTGCCACCGGTGGTAGATGATTGGGCTGTTCAGGACTTCACCCAAGGACTTTATGCTCGAAGCTCGCTGGCTTCACAGCAGTTGAAGCAAAATTTGATAGAGTATCCGGTAGTAACTTGGGCCGACGTCCATAACCGGTACCAATCAAAAATAAGGGTCGAAGATGATCAGCTTGGGGGCCCTTCTAGATCCGTTTACCCCGTCAGAGCTAGTGAACGATCCAAAAGAGACATTGATCATGAATCAAAATCGAATAGAGACCGGTATCAACCATACAATGGAGACCGAAGAGGTAATGGGTCTGGATGAAACCTTGTGAGGAGTGAGAGAAGGAGTGACCGAGGTCAAAATAATCGGGGTCTCATGAGCAAAAGTGGTTTCGATAGACCCATCGGGCCTAAGGAAGCACCGAGGTTATCGGAGTACAACTTCAACGTCGATGTTGCTGCCATCGTATCTGTCATCAGACGCATCAAAGACACCAAGTGGCCTCGACCTTTACAGTCCGATCCTGCCCAAAGGGACCCTAACCTAATGTGTAAGTATCATGGCACTCACTGTCATAGATAAGGGTGGCATGTGGGCCGGTTAGGACCGGGCCCGACCCAGGACCGCGAGCCCAAATGGGCGGTGGGCCCTAACGGTCCTAACCGGATAGGACTGGGACCGTGGGGAGGTGGGCCGGTCCCATAGGCGAGGTCCACGAGACCAGGACCGGCTGGGAAGTGGGCTGGTTCAAGCGGTCCTAAACGGGCTTATCCGGGCCCAACGACTAATTTAAATAATAATAATAATAATAATCTGCCACATTATAGCCGTTATGACATTTAAAATATGACCGTTTTACTGCCAAAATAGTCGTTGGCTATCGAATATAGCTTATATATTTACTATATATACATCTTAAGATATGTATATATATCGAATATAGCTTATATATATACTATATTATACTATACACTTACTTATATATATATATATATATATATATATAATATACTATACACTTATATATATATCGAATATAACCTATATATATACTATAATATACTATATATACATCTTAAGATATGTATATATATCGAATATAGCTTATATATATAATATACTATATATACATCATATATATATATATATAGTAGTCCAATGGAAACCTCCTCTATTGCAGCAAAAGTAAAAAAAAAGGGTACTCGTAATCCGCACAGCCTTCTCAACTAAGCTAAAACAGAGATCGCCGTTTGACTGGGAACTGGAATTGTTTCATACCTCTGCTGACTATTATATGTCCATCGAGGTTTTCACCAGTTAAAGATCTCTATTTTAACACATTTGAGAATTCTTAATCTAGCTAATTCAGTATCCTTATGTTTAAAGACTGGCGGTAATCCACACAATCAGTAAGGATATAAGAATTGAAATATACTTGAATTTTTTTATATAGTTTAGTGATTTTATGGAAGGTTAAACCTTTTTACTCAAGCAAGGGGCCTGTCATAATATAATACATACTCTTATTGAGCCCATGTGTCTAGCAGTTCTAACCGTGAAAGAAGACGCCCTTTTCAACTCATTCATCGGGCTAAGGTTCACGGCTGGCTAGACGAAGCTACTAAGGCAAAGCCAATAAGAGTAGTGCTATATTAGACTGTACCAACCATCTTGAAACCAAGTCAAAATACTATATATAAAACTCATTTATATTTTAATAAATGTCGTCGCTTTCATGGTTTATATAGGAGAGAAGTTAGATATTCAACATAGATATGATGTCTCTTAGCCGGACATCGTCACGGCCAGAGAGGAGAGACTAGAAGAAAACACTTTAAGGAAGAAAACACTTTAAGGAAGAAAACCAGTACTTTTTGGCCGGGATGCAAGGCCTGAAGATCAAGAACTGAAAACTTTATTTACTTTGTTCTTCGGTTACAAA